AACAAGCTTGAAAAGGAAGTCAGAAATAATTCGACGTTGCTGTAGTGACAATAAGTTGAGGACTACGCAATACTTATCGTAATCGCAGTAAGGTAGATGAAATTCATGTGCCAAATAGTACAAAGCGTCGTTGAACCGCTTCGATACGATCACGATAGACTGCGTACATAGCATTCCACACTATGGAACCAAAGGCGCTATTAAACGCTATTAACAAATGCGTTAAAAGGGATTTAATGCTTGTAAAATATAAGTTTCTACTTATACTGATAACAAACCCTAGGTTACGCAGGGCTTTCGCCAACGTGAATTCGATGTGAAGGTGCTTCCATCCATCACTCTGTCAGTAGAGATAATAGGTCTACCATTAAAGTTGTAATTAAAATTAATAGGATAGCGTTTCCATGTGAGCGTTATTTTTTTGGTATTTGTCATAGTTCAAATAAAGTTTGTTAATGCGACAGTAATCATGCAGACGATCAAGGTCCTCCTGTAGCCTTAGGCAGTCATGACTAGAGCTGACTCTAGTAAATATTTTATTATCATCCGCATAGAGCAGGAATTTGGAAAATTTAAAGCAAGAAGAATTGTCGTTTATGTAAATTAGAAATAATCCCCTGAGGCACACCAGATGAGATGGGTTTGTAGTCTGATAGAAAGCTACCCATCTTAACTGCCTGACTTCTGTCCGATAAATTATCCAGCGTACAATGCCGGCAGGAATGTTAAAGGACGACAGCTTTTGTATAAGAATGGTCAATCTTGTCGAAGCTTTCGAGTAATCGGTATAAATAGCGTCAACCTGTGAGTCCTTATTTAAGGTAGAATGAATAAAGTTAACATAAGACACTAAGTTAGGCTCAACCGATCGTCCAGGCAAGAAACCATGATATTCAGTAATGAGAGAGTGAGCAATAGAGTGGTTAAAGTAATCGAAAACAATTTTTTACCTATAATAACAATCATAACATCCGGGTAGGCATCGCGCACGACAGACACACTGGACAAAATCAGATTCAGCGCTTCATCAGCAAAAGGAGGAGGATAAACACAGCACAAGAGAAAGTTTAGTTGACCGCACTGAACTTTCAACCACAAGCCCGCCGCAAAACTTTGCAGACTCGCCATGGGAACGGTATGAAAGCCATGCTTGGCAGTTATCAGGATTCCGTCAGCATCGCGCTTGGTTGAATTTCTATTGCGACGTTATATGGTATGAGATTGAGTGCAGTAGCTTATCGGATATGCCATCATTAAGAAATGTTTCAGTAAGGCAGATAAAATCCGTCGATAAGGCATGTGACTTGAACAAGTACTTGTCTTGGAACGTAGACCATGGACGTTCTGATAATAGAAGTTGATACCCATAAACCGTTTAAAAAGTGATAGGATCAACAATAAAAACGACGAGGGCCATCTTTCGCGCTCTATCATCTTTCCGCAAATGGATCACGCAGCTCTTGGTCCAGATATACTTGTAGTTTTTATTTCTCGCGATTTCTCGTACCTTACTAAAGAGGTCCATGTTACGAGCCGAAATATGTTCATTGATGTAAAGATTATCCGCAACGTCGGGAATCGACAGGCGGTGGCCATTGGCACTGCGATGATATAATTTGACCGCGCTAAAAACACGGTCACGTATCATTCGGGAGATGAACTTTACTATAATGGTTCTAGCGCGCGACTTGTCTTTTCCTGGTGATGGTCTTTCAGGCAGGCGATGAACTGCATCTATACCGGAAGCCACAATAGGAGATTTGATAGCTTCCGCAATGTTGGACACAATTTGACATGTCGGAGAAAATCTTCCCGAAAGTAAAGTGAACAAACGTTCTAGACAGCTATACTCGGCACCAAAAGATACTCCATCATGTTGCTTAAGCATGTTCTGAACCCTAAATTGATATCTCAAAAATCGAGTGTTGTCTGATTTTTTGAACAAATGTCTGCTGGAGCAGATTTTTCTGGAAAAATTCGAATAACTCGAGAACGGCCGAATCAAATTGCAAAAGTAAAGTCGATACTAGTCGTTCCCTATTATGTTTAACTCATAATAGGGCACGTATTGATCCTGTTTGTACTTTCAACCTACCCTTCTTAACTACTAAACGTAACCACCCCCGTTCAATTTGTGCCTAGATTTTTTTTTATGAAGATGATAAATACATTAGAAAATTATCAGTTAGATAGATAAAACTATTCTAACAATAAAACTTTATAATTTCTGAGAGAAAAAATAATTAAGCAAACACTAACTGTTAAGCTGTAGGGTTGTTAATCGGAAGTTGGAATGAATTTTTAATGAAAAAATCTTAGTAGGCATTGCAATCTTTATCATTAATATTTTGACGTTGAAATGTCAGTGGTTTTCTTGCTATTATTATTGTTTTATTTAAAATTTTGAAACGTCGAGTGAAAGAGCGTAAATGCGATAGAACTTTATTTAATAATTAATTTGAAAATCAATAATAATAGTAAGAAAAACACTGACATTTAAACATCAAAAATATTTCTGAAAAAGATTGCAAAGCCTACTAAGATTTTTTCATTAAAATTCATTCCGACTTTTGATCGACAACTGCGTTGTTTAACGGGCAGTGTTTGCTTTATTATTTTTATTTCTCAAAAATTAATCGTTTTTGGAAAAATTTTAGAGAGACAAAAATGTTTTAGGATACTTTCATCTACCTATGTAACATTTTTCTAATGTACACTGTTGGAAATAATTCACGAGCACACCCTGTATAATCTGAACGCGTGTGTCTAACACAATAAAATTTGGTATGGAAGTAGTACTAAAGTAGTGTAACTTACTCTCACAAGGAGAGCGGCACAACTCTGCTGGGAGGAGAAACATCAATAGCGAGAGTATCCCCGTGAGCTTCGCGTACCATCGCTACACGACGTGGCATGAAGTTTATAAGTCGCTGTATTGTAGCAAGAGGGATGGCCAACCATGGGCCATGGGGGGTGGATAGAGCATTCTTGCACGCACTGCTCGAATAGACGATCACCACGTCTCCGACGAACTAAAATTCGCGCATCACCGGTGCTCAATTCGAATCTTGATTCGTCGGAAAACAAAATGTCCCTCTACTCGGCAACCTACTAATGCCTAGCGTCGACCCATTCGTGACGTATGCTGCGGTGCTCGGGTGTTACTGGAATCCGCTGTATCGCACGACGCGCGCGCAGTCCACTATCTACCAAACACCGCCATACAGTTCGCGTAGTGAGTGCGCCTTCCCCTGCCGGTGGCCAAACAGTTCCAAGTTGCCTTGAGGAGGACGCACACGACGCTAAAGCGCTGAGCACAAGAGTGCGATCCTCGTGTGCTGGGGTCGCGCAGGGCCGTCCCGGTAGCGGCTGTAGGTACCTATGTCCTACCTCAGACCATTCTCGCCATGCCCGTTGCACTGCCGATAACGACCGCTCGAGACGACGCGCAATTTCACAGAACGATACACATCGTTTAAGTAACGCGATCGCCCATCCATTGCGCACAGAGTACGATAACAATGTGGTTCCTCACACCACACCAAAAACGACCGGTATTTTCCATCCACTTCGGTCTCCATAGCGACGGAATGTTCCACTTGGAAGAGCGGCTCAGTCAACAATGCCGCGACGGAACAACTTGAATCTCGATGAATAAACTCGTCTACAGTAAACCTTTGTGCTCCGCAAATATCATGGATTTATCTTCACGCGTTCAGATAATATAAGGTGTGCTCGTGAATTATGTCCAACAGTGTATTTATCATTTGTATAAAAAAAATTTTAGCAAAAATGTAAAGGGAGTGGTTACGTTTAGTAGTTTAGAAGGGTAGGTTGAAAGTACAAATAGGGTCAAAACGTGCCCTATTATGACTTAAACATATTCCTCAAATTTCATTTTCCTAGCGTTTATGGTTCTTGAGACAGAAAAATTAAACCAAAATTTTCCGCCATTTTTAGAGGGGTGTAGCTCCTTAGGGGACCCGAAGTCGCCCATGGTTCATATATCAAAGTACATACCTTTAAAATTCACTAAAGAATCACCCCTTGAAGTTTGTTGCAGTTTTCAAGTTTATTGTTTCAGATACACCCTGTATAACGGACACACCCTCCCCCGTATTAGTCCGTTAAGTCCATTGTTATATTACTGTTATGAGTAAAGAATGAACAAAATGTTTCAAATTAATTACGTCTTAATGAAAAGAAAACTTGAAAACGCGCAGTTTCGCTGAAACGGAGAAACATTGTTTCTTTAACATCGAATATTTCCTAACTTATAACGATTTTGAAATAGTTACTATTTTTATCTAAATTGATCTATACTGAAGTTTTCGAAGTACTGTGCATGTACGCAATATCTAATTGGAGACTGAAAAGAAATTGAAAGCTAAGTGCAGATGCGTCGGAAATTAATTTAATTAGGTCTTAAGTGCTTTTAAAGGAAAATTTGTTAATAATAAAGTATTACCATTTACCGTTTACACCTATTTTATTTTAATTTTAAAAAATATTGTTTTTATACAGTTAATTCAACAAGCACAAATCTGACATTTTATAAACATAAATAAAGATTTCAAAAAATTGTATTGAATATTTCATGCTTTTAGTGTTATACTACGGAATATGGATAGTTCTACGTTAATCTGTAACTTGGAACAAATTACTAAAATTGTGAAGACAATTCTTTATAATGTCAACTAATCTTAACTAATTAAAAAGCTTGTGTTTCTGCAGAGAAGCTTACTTTGCATTTGTGATGCTCAATCGCGAATAGCTACTATATTTTTGTTTTGCTTTTCGTACTAACTCCATTTAACTTATTGGTTTTAATGTTCGCGAATATATTCGTTTATTCTATTCTCGTTGGATGTTTGAATCTAATACCAAAATTATTACTCAAAATGTTTTCGTTAAATTTATATGATAATGATTTGTATGAAATTTATAATTTAAGTGTAATCAATATGAAATAAATCATGATTACTGTGTTTTTGAATTAGGTTGGCTTGCTATATGTCGCTGGACAACTCAAGGTTGTATTTTGAAGGTTTACCGACAACACTACCTGCGAAAAAAGCTAAGGAGATAATAACAACACTTTTTAATGGTGATGCAGATGTGCTAATCTTTCCAAACCCATGTGATGACGAAAAAAATCTCGGTGTAGGCTTCGTCAAATTTGCCACCCATCGAAAGGCTGCGGATGTTCGCAAATTACTTTGGCCGTCAAGGGTTTCGATTATGGGATCTAATTTGTTCTTTGAATGGGCGTGCCCATTACCCGACTTCAACCAGGTAAAATTTTTTTAAAGATTGCTGCTATAGTGCCCCTTTAATATAAATAATTTTAATTACTAATATTAGCATACAACTTCTTGTTATAAACAATAATTATATTTTTAGGATTTTGTGGTTCTTGTTCTGCATTTAACAAATAAAATTGGGAATAATGATTTCATAAAATTTGTAACGAATGAACTGGGAGTAGAGAAATGCATTTGTAACATCACAAAACATGAAACGTTTGCGACAATTCAATTCATCTCAAAAATAGATGCTATAAAATGTGAAAAAAGTTTATATGGTAATGTTTTTTATTTGTCGTATACTTTCGTATACGATGATGGTTATACTGATATTACTGTTGTAATATTTGTCCGAACCGTTCTAGGTAAGCTTTTGGATGGTGTGGAAATCAAACCAATTTTCCTTGATAACACCAAATATAAAGGACGGTAAGAAATTTATTCGTCGAATATGCTTCTCAAACTTTATTCGTATCTTAAATATTTTAGATTTATTGCAAATATCATATTGTTTCTACAATGGGGTGCTTTTGATCCAAAAACTTTAGATATTTCCTGCCGTGATGATTTTGTAAGTATATCCCAGATTTTGCAAAACCTTCTACTACATACACCGTTTATTTTCAAAGTTCACCATGAAATCATTTATCTATTTTCAATTAGTGGTGTTTTTAAATCTCATAATTATAGTTTATTAGTTTAACAGTCACGTGCACCATTAATTTTTGCTCGCACTTTGATCGCTTATAATTTTTGAAAAAAAAATTATTTTTGTTATTTTTTAACGTTTTAGTACCTTTGGAAAATATACTGCAATTTTTGACGCATAGTAGCTAGGTTAATAGTATAAACTACGCTATGTTCCTCTTGATTTGCTATTTCCCGTGCAGTGATCACTGCTTTGCTTTAGTCAGTGAATGTTTTTTAATAATGGTGTAACTTAACTGTTGTATTAAATTAGTTTTAAAAGAAAAACGCTAATAAACAATTAAATTTAATTCAGTTATAAGTTCAAAAAACGAATTTTCTAAATTTTCAAAATGCCCCGGCCTCGATTTGGATATACATAATTATATCTTGCGTATTGTCGATCTAACAACTCGACGTAATTTCTGCGGAGATATTTGGGTAATACAATTTCTAACTCGATTTTCTGATGCCTCACGAGACGTTCCAAGTGTATACAGGATGTGTGAAATGTCTGGAATATAGCCAATAACTTTGTCATTTGTGGTTCTAAAGAAAAATGTTTCAAATACAAGTTTCTTTATTAATCATGGCGTTTTTTTTGGTGATATTTGCTTGTTTGTATTGTTTTTTGTTTCGTTGCTATGACAACTAACATTGTTATTTTAAATGGAATGCATATACAGGATGTTTCATGAAGTTCTCTCGGCACTAATGGAGCATGTTGTTTAGGTGATTTGTAATAAAAAAGTTCATATGAATATATGTCCGATTCACTTCACTTATTGAGTGATATGAATTTGAAAATAATAATTAAAAATTATGGCGTTACGGCCCAGCGCGGGGCTCAAAGGGTAAGTGTGCTATGACTGCATTAGTAAAATAAAGTACTTATTTACCTTACTGTCAAATTTGACAAGCTTGCCGTTTAATCTAAAATTATGTGAGTTTTATTTGCGTACAATGCCATTTAAGTTTACGACTGTTGAGTATGCTGTTATGGTTTTTGTACTGGGAAATTGTGATGGAAACACTACTGCAGCTTCAATTGAATATCGACGACGTTTTCCAAATCGGCGTGTTCCATCGCCGAAAACTTTTAGTAGTACCTTCCAAGCTCTCCGAGAAACTGGTTTACTTCCGAGCGTTCATATGCAGTATGAACGAGCAACACAACAGAATGTTGCAGAGGAAGAGAACATCCTTGACATTGTCGAGCGCAATGCCTGCATTAGTACGCGACGTATATCCATACGTTTAGGGATTCCCAATACCAGGGTATGGAGAACATTAAAAAGAAATCCGCTGCATCCGTATCATCTACAGCGTGTTCAACATCTGAAGCCAGAAGACTTCCCTAGGCGTTTGGCATTTTGTCAGTGGTTAAATAATAATCGGAACTTATACCGCTACATTTTATTTACGGATGAGTCACAATTTACTCGAGATGGCATAAATAACATCCATAATTTGCATAAATGGTCGGACATTAACTCTCATGCTACCATAGAAAGTAATTTTCAAATCAGATTTAGCATTAATCTGTGGTGCGGAATGTTATACGATCAACGTATAGGACCGTTTATTTTGAAAATCGTCTTACCGGACAAAGCTACTTGCAATTTTTGGAAGAAAAACTTCCGCGTTTACTATGGGATGTACCTACCTCTGGCAAGACGATTAAGAATGTATTTGCAACATGACGGAGCTCCTTCTCATTTTTACCGTAGAGTCACCGATCATCTAAATGAACGTTATCCTAACCGCTGGATCGGTCGAGGTGAACTGCACGTTTGGCCAGCCATATCTCCAGATCTCAATCCTCTGGATTTTAACATGTGGGGTTGGATGAAAGATTTAGTATATCAAGAAAAAGTAGACACACGTGAGGCTTTAATCCAAAGAATTTTTGACGCTGCAACGCAAATAAAGGAGCACCGTGCAAAGATAAAAAATGCAACGCGAGTCGTTCACAGGCGTGCAGATAAGTGTATTGAAGTAGGAGGTGGAATTTTCGAAAATGTTTAAAATTAATAAATTATTCTTTCAAATTATAATAAAAAGTAACATTATCGCAATTACTTTATTTTTAAATGCATAAGTGTAGCTCAATAAATAAAGTGAATTGTCTTACTCAATGCTTTTTTTTTTGGTCAAACATGACGGTAAGCTAAATAAGTACTTAATTTTACTAATGCAGTCATAGCATCATACTTACCCTTTGAGTCCCGCGCTGGGCCGTAACACCATAATTTTTAAATATTATTTTCAAATTCATATAACTCAATAAGTGAGGTGAATCGGTGTCGAAAGGTGAATCAATATGTTCATATGAACTTTTTATTACAAATCACCTAAACAACATGCTCCATTAGTGCCGGGAGAACTTCATGAAACAGCCTGCATATGTTTTTTGAAAGTCTTAAATCAGCTAATTATTGAAACTGTAATTTTTTTGACATTTAAAGCTGTAAACGGCGTTATTTCGGCGTCTACTTTGATTTTAATTAGCTGATTTAAGACTTTCAAAAAACGCAACTTTTCTCGATTTTCTTTCCTATACAACCATATGATTTGATATGTTCATCGCATAGAGGGACTTATTCTCTACAACAGTATGCAAAAAAAAATATATGCATCCCGTTTAAAATAACAATGGTGGTTGCCATAGCAACGAAACAAAGAACAATATAAACAAGCAATTATCGTCAAAAAATGCGCCACAATTAATAAAGAATTTTTTATTTCTATTTATTATTTGTTTGAAACATTTCTCTTTAAAACCACAAATGGCGAAGTTATTGGCTATATTCTACACATTTGACACACGCTGTATACCTCATTATTGATTATGCCCCATAAAAAATAATCTAAAGGTGTGAGGTCAGGTGACCTGGAAGGTTTTACGCAAAATAAAGTAAATACTCTAAATCATAATGTTCAATGGACATTGTACATTGTAAGTTACTATTAGCTACAGAACATTTAGTGTAAAAGAACAAAAAATAAAAGATCAAAAATAATTGAATTAAACTTAATTGTTTGTTCGCGTTTTTCTTTTAAAACTAATTTAACACAACTGTTAAGTTACACCATTATTAAAGAAGAACCACTGACTAAAGCATAGCAGGGATCACTGCTCGAGAAATAGCTTACACTATTAAACTAACTACTATCCGTCAAAAGTACGTTAAAAAATAACAAATACAATTTCTTTTTCAAAAATTATAAGCGATCGTGAAAATTTTTTCAGGTAAAAGTTATGTGAAATTATGCTGTCTACCCAACTGAAGAAAATAAAATGTGAAATTTGAAAAATAGCGAGATTAGTATTCACATTCGGTATAACCGGAAGCACGAAGAGAATGATTTCATGTCGTAATAATCCGTTTTAACGGCCTAATTATGCAATCCAAATGGTTGTCTTACATCACTAATACTAAAAAAATATGGCGATAAGCCACTTCTGAGGGACACCCTTCATAACTAGTTGGCGTGCCATAGCACGCTACAAGAAATTTAGAATTTCGGTCTGCAATTTTTATACTACATTTTTTTTTGTAGTAGGTGTTAACGTATCACAAAACAAGTTAATAGAAATTGTTTTTTAAATAAAAGAATCCTTTATTTCTATTTTAATGTTACAATATAACTTTTACAACAACAACGTACAAGATGCTTTTCTTAATCACCTTTTTTGTCTGGCCTTACTTTTGCCGTTGCCAACCTCGATATCATGAAAGTTACTAAAAATGGATACATTCTATAACATGCTTTCTTTAAATATAATTTAGTTATTTATTTTACGTCATCTTTAAACTTAGTTGGTACTTTAATAACTCTCTTCGGACGTGGCAATGGGCTGGTAACTGACTCCTTTTTACTAGTCTTCTTTCTTAGTTCCTTTGTCTTCTCCGATTTGGAAATCGTCAAATCTTCTGCTTCTTTATTCACATCAACAAATCCATCTTGCTTTCGTTCTTCCTGTGTTTCCATTCGTCAGTTTTCTTTCGTGTGTTCTTCAACATATAGTTCTTCTTGTCTTCTATCTTGAGTATCTGTGACAGAGCTTTTCGGAATTGTCTTCTCTGAAGTAACTTCTTTAGGTATTGGTTTAATATGAATTAAACTACTGCGGTATTTGCTACCATCTGCGTCAACTATATATGATCTGCCACTAAGCTTTTCTTCTATCTTCCCCGATGTCCATAGTTTAGATTTTTCTGCTTGTAGTTGAGTGGCCACTGGCTGACCTATCTCCAGTTGCGGCAAGTGTTTACTATTTTTATCATAATACTGTTTGGTTTTTTGCCTATTTTTTTCTATGCTTTCCTTTAAATTTTTTACTATTTCAGGTGTTTAATTTTTGCTGAAGGTATTAACATTCGTGTGGTTCTA